CACTGCAGTCACCCGGATCCAGTCCGTATCCAGCCCAGATGGTGGATCAGCACCTAGATATGACCTCTACAGCCCTGAATGTCAGCGGAGATTAGGACAAATACAGTAGATGAGCCCCAGACACAGATCTCCAGTGAAGACCTCGTCACCTAGATGGCCATTGGTACAAGACCACGGGAACCAGATGAGTCCTCTGCACAATCTGACTTTGCTGCAGCATGTAACAAACTGCTGGTTCGTCTGGCCAGAGGAGAACTGCCCCCCCGACTGAGCCTGGTTTCTCCCAAGGTTTTTTTCTCCATTCTGTCACCAATGGAGTTTTGGTTCCTTGCCGCTGTCTCCTCTGGCTTGCTTAGTTGGGAACAGTTAATTTCCAGCAATATCGTTGACTCGATTGCACAGATACTGTTTAAACTGAACTGAGCTGGATGATGACATCACTGAATTCAATGATTAACTGCCTTTAACTGAAAATTGAGTGTTTACTATTGTCATTTTACATTATTTACACACTATTTTCCTATTTGATACTGTAAAGCTGTTTTGACACAATCTGTATTGTTAAAAGCACTATATAAATAAAAGTGACTTGACTTGACTTGGGCCGGTGCCATAGACAGTGGTTCTCGGATAAATGTTTTGTGGAGGATTTCAAGTGGCCCATGACTTTATTTTCTAATTATACAAATAAAAAAGTGAATTATAAAGGATAACTATGATTGAAAAAAAAAAAATCTAAATTAACAGTAACACATTGCCAATAAGATGATGCTATAATGAATATCACATTGATAAATGTGGCCCTGTGGAAAAAGCATGTGTGACATAATGTCTACTGAAACATGTTCTCTAACGTTTCCCCTTTGGGTATGAATGTACACTAAAAAAATGATAAGCACAGAAGAGGAAGTCATTGTGGTGTACAAGAGGGCACACACACACACACACACACACACACGCACACACACACACACACAGCGAGCGATTATGAAACCATGTGCATTTCATCATCTGACTCGCAGGTGTTTTCCCAAGCGAACAC